ATAAACATTTGCAAACATAACTGTGAGTCAAAAACAGTAAATAGTCAACTAGACATTGACGCGCACTGCTTTGAGCGCACGCTATAGTTATTGTAATAAAATTTTAAGTTAACTGCCGCGTTGAAAATGTTATAAAACATCTGTGCGTAGGTCGAAATATGAAGCACTTGAGAAGTTTGGAGAGCACTCAAGAGGCTGGAGTTGCTCTCGGTAACTCCTGCGCTTCCTTCTCGATCCTTCGTGCTCTCCAAACTGCCGCATTGAAAATGTTATAATTAACATCTGTGCGTATGTCGAAATATGAAGCACTTGAAAAGTTTGGAGAGCACTCAAGAGGCTAGAGTTGGTCTCGGTAACTCATGCGCCTCCTTCTCGATCCTTCGTGCTCTACAAACTTTCCGCGTGCTTCATATCGCGACATTCGCATGCTGACTCATGAACCAATGGTTAATTTGCATGGTAAAAATTCAGGTTCCTATATTTCACAACCATAAAGAAGTAAAGGTTTTACAAGGGCATCAAAATTGAAAGGATTTTTTCTTGTTTCGACCGCCTCAGAATCGATGTTAGAATGCAATTGTTTAAGTTTAGCCGCATTTTTGCAGAGGATTTCTTTGCGTAGGTGTAACGACCAGAGGATGTCATTTCTATTCCCAGGTAGGTTTGTGAATGAATGAAAGGAAGAAAGAAAGAACGAATGAACGAATCAATGAATCAATGAAAGAATGAGAGAAAGACAACAGTGATTGCTGATTTCTTTTCCTTATTGAACGCGATTTTAACTGCTTGTTCTGTTTCGATCATAAAATATAGAACTTAGGTATCAGATTATGAAAATGTTATTATTATTATTATTATTATTATTATTATTATTATTATTATTATTATTATTATTATTATTTCATTCTAGAATTTTATTTATCAAGTTATTTCTATTACTTCGCTGATTTTTAGGCTCTATCTTCACATTTGATCAAGTGTTTGTTCAGGGAATGCCTGGTACCCACAGATCTGTCTTCAAGTATTACGTAAAGACAAGCATAACTAGGCGTGGTTTTGTCCAAATTGAAGGAGAGGGAGGTCAAAAGGTATTGTAATGATAATAAACCAATCTTTATTTAAGTATCAGTATAATTCACAGCGAACAATATAGTGTGTGTTTTTTCCACACAATCACACGGTCTTAGCGTCGCATTCTTCCTTTCAGTTCTACATGTACATCCGCACAAGTAAAGAGCTCAAGAACCGTTTAACTTAATTGAGCCAGAAATTCTTCCCTGTATTAGCTGTTTATTTTCCCTTGAGAAATAACGTCAGGCATGATCGATCTCCCATGGTTAAGAAAAAGAGGCAATTTTTTTAAAAAAAAAGATCAATCAATTATTATTATTATTATTAAAAAAAGAAAAAGCAGTTTTGTCACCGATTCAAATTGGCTTGTTGAACTTTATCGACTGGCTGCAATTCAGTTGCCCTTTTTTTTTCTAACAACAAAAACAACAACAACAAAAAATAAAATAATAATAAAAAACACAAAACAAAGCAACGACAACAAACAATGATTTTCCATCAAGCCAATGATCAGTTCAAGGGGAAAAGTTTGGAAAACGCTATTATTTAAATGTGCAAAGTGCATATTTCAATTAGAATAAAGCTACGTGGGGACAAAATAACAGATAACACTGCAAGGAAAGAAATAAATCCATAAGTAAATAAATCACGAATTTGAAAAACTTATCTTGATTTACATTGTGATTTATTAAAGAAGCGCTGAACGATATACGTTGTACGTTCACACACGAGTGTGGAACGTTACTGACTACATTTAGCCTTGGTAATCCTACAGTTTCATAGTCATTTAACACAGAAATAAAACGGTTATTCATTTTGTATCGCTCCCTCTTTGGCAGGTCTTTTTTGGCCCATATTGTGACGGAGATGCCGTGGTTGGCACCAACCTTACCAATCCCGTGCAGGCCCGTTGGATTGTTTTTAATCCACAAAAACCATTTTTTGGCAATAGTCCCTGCATGCGCATTGATATTAGGAGCTGTCAGAAC